CATCTGTAGAACGCTTACCACCGGCTCCCAGCTTGCTTCTCTCTCTGTCTTAGCATCTGTCTCATCCCCCTAACAATGTGAGCCCCTTTAGAGCCAACACAGCGTGTCCCCAGTGTCTAGGACAGTGCAAGTGCCCTGTGGAGCTCCATGGATACCGACTGAATTCTAGATAAATGAATCAAAAGTCATCTTCTGGGGGGTAGGTGATGGGCCTTCCTGGGAGTGCTTTTCAGGTTTGGGATGGGCCAGCCCCCAGAACACCCTCCTAGGGCCCCTTCCTCTAAGTCTAGCCAGCCCCCAGCTGAAATTAATTATCAAGACAGTTGAGATCCCAGTTTTGCCAAAATTAACTAGATTCACACAAAAGAAGTTTGGGTTTGATTTATGTTGGCTGCCCTTCACCACAGTCTGAATTAAGCTGGAATTTGCTGGGGGTCCTCCATCCTGCTTACCCAGCCCCCGGCCACTCCTCTTCCCTGTGCAGAGCCCTGGGTCAGGCCTGGGGACTCAGGTTCTGCTTCTGCCACTGTGTGACTATGGGTACGTCCCTGCCCCTCTCCGTATCTCTGTTTCCTGATCTGTAAAGTGAGCTAGATCAGTGTTTCACAAACCTTTTTGCTTGAGTCTACAGTAAGAAATCCCTTTTACTTGGGGCCCCAGCACACCGATTTGCATGAAACAATGCTTATGCTTACCTAATAATTCTGATATTTTTCACGTATGTGTGTGCCTGTGTGTATTTTTCCTTTTTTTTTACCTTCTAAATTGATATTTTGACCCACCATTGGATCATGACCAACAATTTGGAAAACACTAAACTAGATGCCCTCCAGTACCCCAGTTCACCACATCTGCGATCTGTGTGATTCTGCTCCTCTGTTCTCAAAAGTTCAGCCCTTCAAGCTTGTCTCCCTGAACATCACATTCCCACCTTCCCAAACACTCACGGAGTAAGGCTGGGGCCCGAGCATAGACCGGGAATCCTCCAGTAAACGCCCTGCACCTGGCCGCCACGGAGAGGGTGCCTCCTCCCCAGAATTCTCCAAGACAGAAATGAGAGTGTGGTCTCACCCCGAAGATGAGAGATCCTTCTGCCCCAAGACTTGTTTTTCTTTTCACAGCGGCTCCCTGTTGCCCTCAAAGCGCTAGCTTCACTCCCCTCCATCCCAGCCACCCTCCCTGGATGCCATCCGTTATAAGCCATTTGTTCCTAATTGTGGAGATCCTGCTAATGACTTCTGAAATGGGCGGCGGGGGGAGGAGAGTGAGGCTTCATTAGTGAGACTGAGTTCTTAGGCTTGAGGGAGAATGGGGGTGGGTGTAGATGGAAGAGAGATTGGTTAACAAGTCCTACTGGGTGGCACTGGACAAATGACCGGGAGCTGCCTGGGAAGGTGAGAGATTAATAATCACAATGACAGTAGCTAATGTCTATCCAGGACCCCCTGTGCCTGACCCCCTGTACTCAGCCAGCACTGTGCTGAGTACACGTACATTGTCCCGTGTATTCTTCACAGCAAATCTGTGAGCTGACTGCAGGGTTGTTCCCATTTTACAGAGGAAGAAACTGAGGCTCAGAGCTGTGAAGTGACTTACACAAGGTCACTCAGTATTTGGTGGAGCCAGGATTTGGATCCAGATCCTTTTGACCAGGGTCCAGGCACTGAATGGACTAGTACTGCCTTGTTGAGAGAAAAGCTAGACCTTACTCCCGATCCCACAGAGCTGGGCATTTGGTTTTCAGTTTGATGGATGGAGGGAGGAGGAAAATGAGGTTTAAAAGGCCAAATGGCTCCCCATTTCCCATTCTGCCCTGAGCCCCCTCCCTACCCCCAGGTTTCCCACGATGCCGTCTCCCGGGTGGGATTCTAAACGCCTCATACCACTCAAGGCTGTATCTGGGTATCTCTGGCCCTCAGGGAAGGGAAACTGAGCCCACTTTTCTTTTGGAGATTCTTTTTCTGATCTTCTCCCCGCTTTTCAAACAACTGCACCTCCTCTTCACATCCAGACAGCTGAAAACAGCCAAGAGTCCAGCTGGCGGAAGGCGCATCCCTAGGCCTCACCAGGCTGTGCATGAGATTGCAATGGCCCCTCAGTGGGGTGGAGGGGGGCCGGGACTCAGGTATCTGGACCCCAAACCCAGAGTCTGCCTATCACCCCCACCTCTGGGCACCTACAGGGTGATCTCTAGATAGCACTGAGTCCCAAATTGGGCAAGGCTGGGCTGCAAGAAAATTATATGAAAAGAGTGTGCATTGCCTACCATCACCTCCCCGTCTTCTCCAAGCACAGCGCCAGTACGTGGCTGGCTGCTGTGAATGTGAGTGATCCAATGTGAGTGAAGAAGGAATGAATGCAGTGCCTGGAGGATTTGACTTAGGGCTCCTCCAGCCTCTCCAGCTACTTGACCTAAACCCAACTTGATTTTCTGCCCTTGGAAATGGTTTCAAGTTCCCCGGACTCCCCAGCCATTTCTGTCGTCTGTGGTGTGGGGGTCATTGTGCCTGAAACACCCTTCGCTGTTCTCGTCCACCCGGTGAGCCCGACCTTCTGGCCTCCAGTCAGTGTCGTCCCTCATCTGGGCTCTGGTGCCAGTGTTCACCTCCGCCTCAGTCTCTGACAGACGTCCCCACGGCACCAGGCCCTGAGCCCCTGGGGCAGGGCCACGTTGTTTCTCTGCATCTCCAGCACCTAGCAGGGTCCCTGGCACATAGGAAGCAGGAAGGCGGGAGGTCAGAGGAGAGGACCGCCTGACCAGGCCTAGGGTCTCACCTGGTGCCCTGTCATCTGGTCTAATGGGCAGGAAAGTGAGAGGCGGGCGGCAAGGGCCTGTCACTGGGAGGTCTCACAGGAGTGAGACTGCAAGGCTCTGTCATTTTTTCCTATAAATCTTGTAATTTCATGCTCCAGGGGACCACAAAGTAACAGCTCCCCCAGGCCACTCCCCTCACCAGGAGACTGCACGGGGCTCCCCCACTGTCCCCTGGAAAACCCTCCCTGGTGTCTCCCTTCTCCCTGCTAGGGATCCAGGGTGCTTCCTCTCCCTACCCTAACCAGTGTCCCCTGTGGATTGCCTGAGCTGGCCAGCCCCTGTAAGCCATCCTCTTCCCCCACCTTGCCCTCTGGCCCCTCTCCCTTACCTCTACCTTCAGAGGACAAAGAGCATCTGTCCAACCTGTGTCATTAGACCCAGAGGGGGTTCCCTAAAAGTGAGGCCCATAGAGGCAGAGGCCCGTTCCAAATGACCACCTGGCCACCTCCCTCTCCTCACCCTGCACCCCCTCCCACAGCCTCTTAGGGCCTTTGACTCAGAAGGTCAGATTTCTACTTTCTGATGTGAATCTTGAAGAAACACAGGCAGGGTGTGAGGTCCCTGGGAAGAGGCGGGTGAGGGAGGCCTAGGGTCAGGGGCTGGTGAGGAGCATGCTGGTCTGGACCCCAGGTCTGCCTGGGACACGGTCCCATAGACACAGCGAGTGTATTCAGGTACTACCATCCTAAGGTAAACTAGACTTAAGCCTCAGGGAAGCTCAGCTATTCAGTGAAAGAGCTGTGAAGGGGATGTGTACATATGCTTGGTACACAGCGGGCCCGGCAGTGTTTGCTGAGTGGCGGGGTGTGGGAGAGTGCATCCGTGTCCCACCTCACAGGTCCACCTTGCCGGTGCTCGAGGTGGGAGAGTGGGAGTCGCAGGTAGCACGTTTCATTTAATAGGTACGCTGGGGAGAGGCCAGAGGTGAAGGATTCACGAGAAGGGAAGGGAGCGGACACTTTTCGAATGCCAACTAAATGCCAAGCATTGGTCCTTTAACCCCGCTAGCATTCTGGAGGTGGGAGTGGCCCAGTTTTGCAGATCAGAAGCCTGAAGCACAGAGATGGGGAATAACTTTGCCCAAGGCCACACTGCTGTTCGCTGTGGCACAGATGGGACTCAGACTCGGTCTCCCTGATGCCAGAACCCCGTCAGAGGCCTGGACACAGCTGCTCTGGACCCCAAGGGGGTCTTTGAGGAACCTGGAGGCAGACAGGTTTTGTGCTCCTGGGTTGTAAATTCGGGACAGGTCCCCACATCCCCTGCCTCTGAGCCCCCTCCCTGGCCTGGAGTGGGGGGGATGGAGGGCTTGGCTAACTTAACAGAGAACTTTCTAGGCCTCCTCCCGCTTGACCTACTCAACCTCTCACTGCCCATCTGCCCACCTGCCAGGCCCACTAACTGGCCGGAGGTACCTCTCCTGCAAACTCCATGTACTTCCCATTCCCATGACCATACCAGCTCAGAGTGCAGTCTAAGCCACCATGGCCTTCAAGCCCTGACCACTATGGGCGGTGTGACACACCCTTCAGGACTTAATCAAATTCCCTTAGTGTCACAAGGCCATATGCCCAGACTCTCCCAGGCTCAGAAAGCCATGTGGTGCTCAGACCCTTAGACTCCACCCTCATCAACTACCCACTTCCCGTGTGCTCTGACTCCAAGTGAGTGCACTCTCTTAGCCCCCAGACAGACCACCTAGTGAGGCAGATGGCCTCGGAGCCAGGCTTACTGGCCTTAACACCTCCTAGCTGTGTGAGTTTAGGCATGTTACTTCTTGGAGACTCAGTTTCCTCATCTGCAAAATGGAACTGATAATCCCTGCCTCACACACTCTGGGAGAGGATTAGATGAGGTCTTGCCTATAGAGTGCCTGACACACCGTAGATGCTCAAGAAATAGTACCTGTTAATACCCTGAGTCCACTGCTGTCCTTTCTCCAGTGGTCCTTGCTTGACCACTGACCCTTCCGTTTGCTGCCCCATTGAGTCCCAACAAACTTCACCAGGTCCCAGAGTGACTCCCTGCAGGCTCTGATCCCTGAAGCCTGACTGTTCCCGTGACTCCTACCTTTATCCTTATCCCCTAGCGCAGGTGCACCCTGTGACCCTCTCACTCACTCCCAAGACCTTCCTTCGACCCTGACCTCCCCTTTTTGGGTGCACTGACTCCCCCTGTGTTGCAGGCTCTCCAGGTGGCCCGGCAGTTCCTGCTGCAGCAAGCCTCGGGCCTGAGCTCCCCAGGGAACAATGAGAGCAAGCAGTCGGCCTCTGCTGTGCAGGTGAGGAGGACGCCCCTGGCGCTGGGCAGGGGCCAGGGCGGGAGAGGGGGCTTCGCACTGAGGGCGGGGAAGGACAGGCTGGAGAATTGCTCTGGCCCTTGCCCAGTGCCAGGGAGGGAGCAGCTTTCCAGTGGGAGGTGGTGGGGAAACACCACCTTCTCTGCCTGCACCTGACCGCTGGGCCTTTCTCCACTGAGCCTCAGCGTCTGTTGCTCAGAGTTTGAGTCTGACTCAGCCCTCAGTCCCTCATTTCTCTGCCGGCTTCCTCTTCTCTGGCTCTGCCCTCAGGGTCTCTCCCGGGCACTTCTGAGTTGTCAGTTTCTCAGTCCCTGTGGGTCACTAGGCCGGTCCCTCTCTGCTCCCCTCCCAGGCTCTCTCCCTTGCTGAGGCCACCACATCCCCGCCTCTTCGTCTCTCACCCACCAAGTATGTCTCCCCGCGTTTCCTGTCTCTTGATGTCTCTCTGTCTCTTTTGTTTTCCTTTGCACAATCTGCCCTTTTTTCCCCCACTCCCTTCCCCCCAGCGTGCAGGCCCATCTGGCTGGCTGGGGGAGGGGAGGAGAGGGTGGGGGACGGGGGTGAGCCAGGCCTTCTGTTTACCTTTTGTGTCACAAAGAACTTGGGAGAATTGCAGTCTGAGTCGGGGTGGGTCACAACTCCACGGGCAGCCCCTCCCACCCCCTCGGCCCGCAGCCGAGCTTCCTCGCTCTCCCCCACCCTCCCCGCAGCAGGAGAGGGAGGCTTGGAATTGGGGAGAGGATTAAGCGAGGCTTTGAAAGGAAGTTTATCTAAGGGAGGAAGAGTGAGTGCGATCCGGGCGCGAAGCTCTGGAGCCTGGGGGATGGGGTGCTGAGGGACAGGGGGAAGTGAGGAGCGGGGCGGGGGTGGGGCGCAGGGCGCCCGGAGAAGGACCCGGGTCTGAGTTTTGTCCTGGGACAGAGTCCAGTGCTCTGAGGCTCAGAGGGCATCTCTGGGTTTTATGCAAAACAAGCCTACGTTCTGCAAGAAAGTGCTTTGAAGAAGTTGAAGACGCAGTGGCCTTCTTTAAAAGTCTCCGGTCTAATGAGGCAGGCCTCAGAGGGGAGGAGTCGGGCAAAGGGGAGGAGTGGCCTGGGTGGAGGAGGGGAGGGCAGAATCCAGAAAGCCACCAATGGGAAAAAGAGAAAGTTCTTGAATTGGAAGAGTATAGAAGGGTCTCACACCCACGTGGTGTCAGGACTGGGTCTCTGAATTAGGGACCCCGACCCCGTCCCCAAATACTCCCTGAGTCTGAAGTGATCCTGAGCTACTGTTGGGAGTTTTTCCCCACCCTTGGCCCAGGGTGGTACCCATTCCAAGAACAGAGAGGGCTAGTCTAGGGAACAGTAGTCATGTTCCCCAACCCAGAGCGGGTCTGCTGACCCAAGGACGGGGGAAGGAGCTTGGGGGTAGAGGGACTGAGATCAGGCATCAGGGGCTTTGCAGCTGGATGTGAGGATAGGATCTGAAATAACTGAGAAAGGAGGGAGGCTGTGGAATCTGCCTTAGGAGGCCACCCCACAAAATGAGGGAGGTCAGTCGACAAACAGTCCTGAAACTGACAACTGACGTTTGCAGAGTGCTTACCATGGGGCAGGCACTAGGTACTTTACAAATGTCTCATTTTATCCTCACCATCCTCGGGAATAGATGCTGTTATTAGCCGCATTTTGCCAATGATGCAACTCAGGCCCAGAGAGGTTAAGAAACTTGTCCAAAGTCACACAGCTAACAAGGGGCAGAGCCAGGATTTAAACCCAAACAACTAGCTCCAGAATTCACACTTTCGTGCCTGCGCTGTGACGCGGCCGTAGTAGTGAACAGCAGTCCCCAGTACTGAGACCTAGCCTGATGGTTCTCTGGGTTCAGGGAGATGGGGCTTCTTGGGGTCGTGCCTGAACTCCTCTAGGAACCTGGAACCCCAACTGGTGATCTTTTTCCTCCTCCAACCCTGGATACCTTCCTTGCGTCTCATCCCCACCCTCAAGTTCACAGTCTCCAAGAAGTGGGACTTCTGATTCCGAGTAGGGTATGGGGCTTAGAAATACCTCTCCTGTGAGCTCAAGACTGGCAGGGGTGAGGGTGGGGGATAAGGAAGCGTGCATTTTGTTGATTTGGAGCTCAAATGAAATGGGGAGTACAGATCAATGGCAGCACCTTTCCCAGCGGTCCCCACAGGACACTGCTGTGCTCCCCAACTCAAGGCAAGATTCCTGCCCGCTCACCTCCCAGCCATGTTCACTACCCTCTCTTCTTACAGCTAGCTTCAGAAGAGTTTCCAAAACCAGACTAGGTCTCCAGCTCCAGCCTAGAGATTGCCTGGTTTGTGCCAGGGCCTGGGCCCCAGGCAGGGAGAGGCCACTCACAGAAGGAAGCACAGGTAGCTGGGAGTTTGGGCAGAAGGGTGGCTAGAGCAGGCCCCTTAGCTGTGCCCGGCCTTTGTCTCATCTTCTCAGCTTCCTTGCTGTTTCTAGAAGTTCTTCTTGGTGTCTCACCACGATCTTTCTTGCTGTAGCTCCAGCCAGGTCCGAAGACTACCTTCTGGTCATTTGCAAGGAAGTTTCAACCTAAACTAAGCTCTGGCCTACTCTCCCCACTCTCCCAAAGACCCTAGACCCCATACTTAAGAGGTTGAGGTTAGGGCCTTGATTCTCGCACCAAATTGCATCCATCCCAATACTCAGCTTCCAGATAAGCTTCCTCCAGTTCAGGTACCATCCCTGCTCCTCCCAGCCCAGCATACTATGTTCATGGTGGAGGGCTCCAGGCCTGAGCAGGGCCCCTGAGGGAGAGAGAGGCTGGAGGCTGCTGTCGGCACTCCGCCCAGGGCTCACACTGCCAGGCTTTTGTAAGCATTTAGCTGCCCTGGCTGCCCTCCCAATGGTGACTCACGGGCCTTGCTGAGCTGACTAGCTGACGGTGCCCATCCTGACACGTCCTAGTCTGGTGAAGGGTCAGTGGGGACACCAGGGGAGCTCCAGCTCAGTTCCCAGAACCCTCAAGGGGCGTGAGGGGAGGAGGCAGGCTCAGCCAGCTCGGGAGATCAGCAGGCAGCGGCCATCTCTGACCTTTCTCAACCCTCCTGGGCCATCTTCAAGACAAGTACACACAAGGTAATGTGTCCAGATTTCTGCAGCCGCCTCTCCATCCAGCTGCTCGGCCAGTTGGCAGGAATGGCAGGGGCCAGGGAAGCCTTCCAAGGTCATCTCTTCCATTCCCCTGCCTCCAAGTAGGAAAGCCCCAAGGAAGGAAATGCCACATCCTTTCCTGCAGGCCGCTTGCAGTGACTCACACCCCTGGTGCCTGGAAAGATCTCCGGGGTGTCTGGACTCAGTCTTCCCTGCTGGGGGCAGATCTGTCTCCTCTAGTTCTGTTATCACAGCAATGAAGATGGGAGGCCCAGAGCTTGTGTCTGAAGTGGTCCTTGCCACGTAATGCCCCTGGGGCCCTGGCATGCCAAACGTGCACTCGTGGAGGAAAGGAGGGAAAAGGAAAACCCAGGTTTTAAAAAGTAATTTTCTTTATATTTGTATAGAATTTCATGGCATACAAGCCACTTTCACGTACCCTTTCTCCCACTGTCCCTCCTGGCCTCAGTTTTCTCATCTGTAAAATGGTGGCAATGATGGTCCCTTCCTCCCAGGGTTGCTGTGAAGATTCAGGGAGATTATATGCACAAAGGGCTTAGCCTAGTGCCTGGCACATAATCAGCCACCAACAACGTCCTCTTGAGTAGTCCTGTGAGGTGGGGAGTGCAGGCGTTCCAGACCCCCCAGTTAGCAGATGCAGAAAGTGAGGCTTGGTGATTTCAAAGAACAGTCGATATTGGGCAAGAACTGAGTTCTTGTGAGTTCTTGTGAGTTCAACACCACCATGTTGGTTGCCCCCAGGGTAGGGGGGAAAAATGGACAGGTAAGCAGCTACCCAGCTGCCTCAGGGACACCCAGCAAAGGACATGGGCTGGTTCTGCAAGGAAGGTGGATCTGGGCCCTTGTCTGCCCCCCACCCCAAGCCCCTCTGAGAGGGGACCGGAACAGCCCTGGCTTCCCCGAGTCTCCCTGGGAGACAGTTGTAAGAAGGGGGGCTGGCTTTTGGGATCTCCAGCCTCACTGATCCGTTCAGTTCGCAGGATGGTTCCATCTCCACACACTCTCCTAACCCTTCTCAGGACCTTCTCTGGGGTGGGGCAGACCATATGGGACATGGGAACACCAGGAACCACGAAGCACGCAGACCTGGGTGTGAATCCCAACCCTGCCCCTTAAGGCTCCTCGTTAGAGGCCCCTCAGAGCCTTTATTCACATGGTGTGGCCGTGGCTAAAAAGCCAGTTGCCCCTTCCAGGGATGTTTGCACAGAGATGGCTCCGGTAAAGGAGGGGAGCCCAGGGCTGGGGCAAGAAGGAGTGGGGGCAGTGAGATTTCTCTGATGTCACTGGATCCACTGTACTTCCCCTATTGCCTGTCTGCATGGGCCTTTCCTCACTGGTGGCTTAAGGCCGAGTCCTGCCCACCCCTCCAGGGATCCTGAACTGAACCAGCTCCTCCCCTTCTGCCCTACTGTGGGGCTAGGGAAGATGAAAGGGGCCAGGAGCAAAAGGGGCCTGTCCCATCCTGACCAGGACAAGTCTGCAGGATACCCACTCCCTGACTGGGCTACCAGGACCCCTGTCTCCCCACCCTAAGGCTGAACTGTTGGGGAAAGTAACTCAGCTCAGGGGGGCACACACCTAGTGAGCGCCTGCCGTGTGCAGGCACCTGGCTCGGGCTTGGGAGTGACACGGGAGCGTAGAGTAGAGTCTTGTGCACGTGTGACTTGAAGATTGCCCCCGTCAGGACACCCATCCTTCTAAAACAGGGCAACAAGACAGCGTTGAAGCTTGGCCTTCCCTGGCTGTGACTGCACAAGCCTGGGGGTTTCAGGGGAGATGGGAACTGGGAAAAGAATGATACTGTTTTTCTCTGGACCTTTTGCCTGTAGCTTGATTCTCTGGGCCTCCTGTAGAGGCCTAACCCAGGACAAGGGGCAGAAAGCTGCCCTACTCTGAGAAGCCTGCATGTTCTGGCCGGAAGGAGTTGTCTCTTGTAGTCCAATCCCTGTTTTATGGTTGAGAAAACTGACACCCCAGAGACAGCAGGTGACTTGCTGGAGGTCACACAGCAAGTTCAGTGCAGGGCTAGGAGTAGCGACCTGTCTCTCTGCATCCCCACATGGTGATGTTTCTGCCCCACCTGGACCAGATCACAGCTTCGTACCACATGGGATGACACTGACAACGCTTCTGGATGTCAACTCTGGGCCACTGTGTGTGCCACCTAGACACATGTGCTGGAGTATGTGACGTGTGTGTGAGCTGGGCCAAAGTCCAGGTCCTCACTCCATGTGGGCCCCATGTTGACACCTTCCCAGGGCTGCAGCCTGCCCTCTCGGCCAGGCCCAGCTTCTTAGAACAGACTGAGCAGGAGTCGAGAATGGCTAGGTGCTGCCCTTCCCCATCACTGAGGGAGAAACCCTCCAAGGCATGGATTCTACCAACCAGTGTCAGTTTTCCTGCGCAGAAGATAGCGTACCCTATAGTAGCCAACTCTTAGGAGCACTTGCTGTCTGTAGGCTCTGTTCTAAATATTAACTCATTAGCCATCATGATGACCCTAAGAGGCAGGCACTATCCCTATGTCCATCTCAGAGACAAGAAAACCAAGAACAGGGGAGGTGAGTCTCTTGCCCAGAGACGCGCAGCTGGCAGGTGGCAGAGCCAGAATGTGAACACAGGCAGGCTCACTCCGGAGCCGCTCCACCATGCTATGGGCGGGGCCTCGGGTGCTGGCCCTCCCCGGGTTGGGTAGAGGTGAGCGGGCTAACGGGGCCGGATCCCACAGGTGCCCGTGTCGGTGGCCATGATGTCGCCGCAGATGCTCACCCCTCAACAGATGCAGCAGATCCTGTCGCCCCCACAGCTGCAGGCCTTGCTCCAGCAGCAGCAAGCGCTCATGCTCCAGCAGGTGAGTCTGGCCCCAGGGCAGCTGGAAAGGCAGGGAGAGGAGGTGGGGTGTTCTAGACACTGGCCTCCCCACTCCCACCCTGGTTACCACCAACATCACGAAGGGCCAAAGCCACGGCAGAAACCAGAGAGACTGCTCAGGCCGGACTGATCTGCGTTCCTCCAGGACACCTGGGGAGAGGTCAGAGGTCCGGCCTCTCCCACAGCAGACCCCCCTGACCTACCATACTCCCTCACAGTGTGCTGGCCCCACCCATAGGGAAGAGCAGGCTACTGGAACATCCTGGCATTGTCCTGACCCACCAAGGGAGAGGGAGGGCTTGGAGCTGTGGGGTGAAGCTCCCTTCTCCCTTCTCCATTCCCTCTCCGTCCAGGCTCTGCTCAGGGACCCTCTCAGAGCAGACTGGGGCGGGCAGACATCTCCCTGCTGGCCCATCTGTTTCGTGGCAGCCCAGTCATGAGAGGGCTGGCCTGGCTTTGGGGGCCCCTGCTAACCCACTCCCACCCTGCTGTCTACCCCCAGCTGCAGGAATATTACAAGAAGCAACAAGAGCAACTCCACTTACAACTCCTCACCCAACAGCAGGCTGGGAAGCAGCAACCCAAAGAGGTAAGGGGCTCAGGCAGGGCCAGATGTGCCCCTCAAAGGACCCGTCTCTCACCTGCAGCCCCAGTCCTCTCCTGGCCGAAGGCTGGGAGTCCCAAAGTGGTCAGGAGAGAATTGCCTTGTCGGGATATTGGAAAAATCAGGAAAGGCTGGGGGAGGGGATCGGGGGGGTGAGGAGATGGAGGCCCATATTTCTCCATCTCCCCTCAGCCGTGTTCAGTCCTCTCTCCATGCCTTGTGTTACTGCATTAGGAGAGAAGGGCTGAGCCCTGTTTTGTCTGAGCAGGGCTGTGTAGGTGTGTGTGCGTGTCAGGTTGTCCTCACTCATGACTGCTGCCATGTTGTCCTGCCCTCTTCCTGCCTCTTAGTGACCCAGCACCTCAGCCCTCCAGTCTGGTCCTGAGAACCTCAGTCCCTCGGCAACCCCCCGCCCCGCTTCAGCCCTCCCCTAACTTCTGCCACTCCCTAGAATATCCTGCCCTGCTTCTCCAGGGAACTCCCCAGCCTACACCCACTGCCCCACCTGGGCCACAGTGCCTGCTGAGCTTCCATACCAGGCCCTGCAGTGCCCCCGACCCCAGGTCCCAGATGCGCGTTTCCCTCCTGCTGGCCAAACCACAGCCAAGTTCCGAGTTGCCTCTTTCCGGAAGGCTGCCCTGCTGATGCCCAGTCATTCCCTCTGTCCCTCAGCCTCCCCTTCAAAGGTCTTGTATTTGCTGTATTCTCTGCATCTAGGCCAGGTTTACTGAATAGCCAGGCCCCCGACCCCACCTCCAGGGCAGGGGAGAGCCATCCCTGCCTCCCAAGCCCCCAGGACATGCTTGGCTCCTGGGGCTCAGAAAAGACTTGCTGACAGGCTGACTTGTCAGTGCTTGTGTGAAGTACTGGGTCGCGGGGGTGGGTGGGGGGACCCGGGGCCAGAGCAGGAGACCGCCATCTGGAGCAGAGTGAGCAAGTGTGGAGGGCGGCGACTGTTCCCTATCCTGGGTCCTGATGACCTGCTAGTGCTGATCTGTTAAAGTCCCATCAGACTCCTTGATTCTCTGTATCTAAGAAGCAGGAGAGGAGAGGAGCTGGAGGGGAGAAGGCCCCCTCCTCAGAGCGGAAGGGGGGCACCCCAGGCATGTGGGAAGGGTGCCCGCCAGGCGAGAGTGGCCCCCGGAGTCTGACACGCTCATCCATCATTGTGATGAGAGCCTCCTCCCGCCCCCCCTCCCCAAGGCGAGCACAGCTGCGGTGCGGGAGCTGAAGCAGCGGAAGGAGGGAGGCGGGAGCAGGGAGGGCGTCGTGCTGCGTGTCTGGGTCTGGCTGTGTGTGTTTGCGCGCGTGCGTGTGTGCGTGCATGCGTGTTTACTGCGAGGAGGCATGCAGCCCTATGGAAGCTGGGCCGGGAGCAGAGAGGCTGCAGCTGCGGACGCCACAACGACAGCTCCGGGGGCCGACAGGCCCTGGGAGGGGGTGGCCGCAGGGTGGGGGCCAGATGGCACGCCTGAGGCTGATGGCACCCCTCTCTGCCCGCCCCCTCGGGCCCCCCACCAGGCACTGGGGAACAAGCAGCTGGCCTTCCAGCAGCAGCTCCTACAGATGCAACAGTTGCAGCAGCAGCACCTGCTCAACCTGCAGAGACAGGGGCTGGTCAGCCTGCAGCCCAACCAAGCCTCCGGGCCCCTCCAGACCCTCCCGCAAGGTGAGTGCCCACCCCCTACCCAGCCCCAGTCCCACAGCCTTCACTGGAAGCCCCTGCTCCCAGGAGTGAGGTGGGGGGCCCCCATGCGTTCCTGGGGCCCGGCCAGCCTCCCCTCTCTCTCCCTCCGGCAGCAGCTGTGTGCCCGACGGACCTGCCCCAGCTGTGGAAGGGCGAGGGTGCCCCTGGGCAGCCCGCCGAGGACAGCGTCAAGCAGGAGGGGCTGGACCTCACTGGCGCGGCCACCACTGCTACCTCGTTTGCCGCCCCCCCCAAAGTCTCACCCCCCCCTCTCCCACCACACCCTGCCCAATGGACAGCCCACTGTGCTCACACCTCGGAGAGACAGGTATGGGGCTCCGGCCAGGAGGAGGTGCTACAGACCTGCCCAGGGCCTGGCCTTGACCCTGAGGGCTGGGAGGGAGGAGCAGAGCTCAGGGACCTGGAAGTTTACCTCTCCCAAGACACACAAAACTGCTCAGCCTTTGGGGAACCCGTATCAGGGACAAAAACATCACCAGCAGGGGAGCTGGGGCTGGCCTGGCCCCAGGGCTGCTGGGGTCTTCAGGGTCCCTGACCGCCATCTCACTCCTGCCCTCCCAGCTCCTCCCACGAGGAGACGCCAGGCTCCCACCCCCTCTACGGACACGGAGAGTGCAAGTGGCCCGGCTGTGAGACCCTGTGTGAAGACCTGGGCCAGTTTATCAAGTAGGTGTCACCCCTACCCTTTTTTTGCCTCCCAGCCCACCTCCCCTGACAGCAGCCTTTCTGCAGGGCCCCTCAGCCCCGAGCCTAGCACCTAGCTTGCCCCTTCTTGGGCCATCAGCCACCAGCTGCCCTGCTGTCCTCACTCCATGGGGGGCCTAGTTCCTTCTCTTCCCCGCCATTAACTCCTTAATCATTCCTCCCCACTCCCCAGTCTGTGTCTGGGCCAGCAGCCTCCTCACCCCATCCCCAGGCTTCCAGAGCCAGGTTGGGAGGGCGGGTTTGAGGAGAAGGAGAGGACTCCCCCCACCGCCCTCCCCAGCTTCCCCCAGATTCAGCCTGGAGAGTGATGGCCTAGTGACGGCCTTCGGGCCTGGCGGACAGGCGGCTGGCAGCAGGCGGCCAGCTGCCACAGCCGTGCCAGGCTCTGTCACTGACTGATTAACTCCGCTGTCTCCCAGACCCTTGCAGCATCAGGGTCAAACAAATTGTTTTCACGCTTCGTCAGAGGTTTACTTAATTAGTTCATTTGCAATTAGATCTCTCTGTAGCTGGGATTTTAGCAAAGACATCAAAGGAGGCTGACGAGAAGGCGGCTTCCTCCGTTGTCCCGTGTTGTGTGTGTGTGTTTTTTTTCCCATCCCTTTCCCTTCTTTGTATCTCTTGGTCTGTCTGCCTTTCAGGCCGTGGGCGGGATTAGAGGATGGGGTGGGAGGGTGGTGACAGCGGGAGAACCAACTTTCTCTTCTCCGCCCCTCCTCTCCTGGAAGACACCTCAACACAGAGCACGCCCTGGACGACCGGAGCACGGCCCAGTGCCGCGTGCAGATGCAGGTGGTGCAGCAGCTGGAGATCCAGGTGTGGCCCCAGCTGCGGGGGAGGGACTTGGGGGGCTCTTGCCCCTGCCCCACCCATGGCACTGGCTTTCCAGGAGGGGTTTAGGGGGCCTCATGGAAGGCTCATCTTATGCTTCTTAGGTCCTAATTACCATGGTTGTGAGGTGCGGGCAGCTGGATTCTGAGGGGGAAACCAGGGCTGGGGGCATCTCTGCTGGGAGGTCTCGAAGAGACTCTTACTGATAAAAACAACAAAACTAATATGAATAGCTGACATATTGAGCACTTACTTCGTGCTATACTACATGCTTTCCCTCTGTAACTCAAGGAATCCTCTAAACCTGATCTTGTGGGCACCATTATTACGCCCACTTTGCAGATACAGTAAACAGAGGCACAGAGGGGTGAAGTAACTCGCCTCTGGTCACTTAGCCAGTGGGTAGCAGAGCTGGGATTAGAACCTAGGCAGTCTGGCTCCAGAGTCTGCGCTCTACCGCACACGGTACTCAGGAGGCTGCTCAGGACAATCCGTCCATCAGGCAGTCAGTCGGTATTTACCCCCTTCCCTCTGGTACCTAGCAGAGCGCCTTGCATGAGAAGGTAGCTGTGAAAGATCTATTGAATTTATGAATAGGGGTGAATGAATCGTTCATCCCTTCCTGCGTCTCCATTCAGTGCGTGAGGACACTCTCACACACAAGTGCCACTGAACTTGGGTGTTGTTCAGCCACAGCCTTTGCCCTTGATGGGGAGGAAAGGAGTGTGCTGCTGGGAAGAGGGCCCCCTGACAGTGTGCTGGACTTGTGGCTGGGGACACCCAGTCTGGAGAAGCGGGGAGGGTGTCATGGAGCAGGCAGCCCTCAGTGAGGGCTGCAGGTGTGAGGGGCCAGAGGGTCAGGCAAGAGCGGAGGCCTTCCAGGAGCAGGGGACAGAGGGAGCCAGGATGCCAAGGGCAGGGGTGAGTGGTGGTGGGGATAAGGGCTCAAGATGTGGAGAAGGAAAAGGACCCAGATGCCCCCCAGGCACAGCCCCTGCTCACCTCCTGCCTCCTCACAGCTCGCCAAGGAGAGCGAGCGGCTGCAAGCCATGATGGCCCACCTGCACATGCGGCCCTCCGAGCCCAAGCCCTTCAGCCAGCCAGTGAGTGACTCCCCTCCCTGTGGCCTTCCCAGACAACTCCCCAGACCCCCACCCTTCGGCGCTGGTCTCAGCATCCTCCCCATTGCTCACAGCTGAACCCAGTCCCCGGCTCCTCCTCATTCTCCAAGGTGACCGTCTCTGCAGCCGACTCGTTCCCAGATGGTCTCGTGCACCCCCCAACCTCGGCCGCTGCTCCTGTCACTCCCCTACGGCCCCCTGGCCTGGGCTCTGCCTCCCTGCACAGTGGGGGCCCTGCCCGCCGGAGGAGCAGTGACAAGTTCTGCTCCCCCATCTCCTCAGGTAAGGGCGCAGGGAGGGGCACCCTTCCCCAGGCTGGGTACCCCCTTCTGGCTACCTCATCCTCTGCCTGCCTCCCGCAGAGCTGGCCCAGAACCACGAGTTCTACAAGAACGCTGATGTCCGGCCCCCCTTCACCTACGCCTCCCTCATCCGCCAGGTGAGTGTGGAAGGTAGACGGAGTGGGCTGGGGGTGGCACACCAGCTGCACCCCTCCCTCAGGGGCCCCGCCTCAAGGAGGATCCTGGGGCCAGAGGGCATAGCTTTCCATGTCACGTTTGACCTCTCCCACTCACACCTGCACTTTCCTTCCTTCTCAGCCAGATGGCCCCTCAGACAGGCCTCGGCTGAGCCAGCCTGCTGGTCATGGGGACATGTCTCTGGAGGCGCACACACACTATTTTTTGCTACTTACACCCCCTGTGTCATCTATTCTCTCATTTCCATGTACACACACTCCCATGAGGCTCTTTTCTGATAGACTTTGGTTACTCATAGTCTGTCTCTGTTTCTGTCTTACACACACACACCCCCTTTGTCAAAATTAGGATAAATTCCAAACATCCCCCACCCTCTGGACCTCTTTCTCCCAAGGATATTGCTTTCCTTCCCAGGCCCTGGAGGCCCGTGTTCCCTGTAGCCTATGGCTGGGCTGTAACCAGCCTGCACCTCTCAGGGGACCAGTGAGCAACCCCTAGTCTTGTCCACATGCTTCCACAGCAGGTCTGCTCTGCCCTCAGGCCTGTGATTCTTGGAGGCCCAGACTGAGGGTCCCCACGCTTCCTCCTTGCCCACAGGCCATCCTGGAAACCCCCGACAGGCAGCTGACCCTGAATGAGATCTACAACTGGTTCACCAGGATGTTCGCCTATTTCCGGAGAAACACGGCCACCTGGAAGGTGAGATGCGCCCCTTCCTCCTCGCCAGGGCCCCAGGCAGCGTCAGACACTTCCACATCCCTTTGAGACCAAGGCTGCCTGACAGTTAGTCCCCTTGGAGTGGTCTCCATTTCTGCAGAAATGGCGTTTCTATCTCCACCTCCAATTCTCTGGAATATAACCCCGTGGGCCCCAAAGACCACAGCCCCCTGAAGTAGGGCCTCTAGGAGTCGGTAGAGCCTGAGCCTACGGTAGGGAGACCTGGGTTACATTCACAGGAGACCCCAAGGATTTGGATTCTTTGGCTAAAGGTGCTCACTCTGAAGCCCTGGGTGGGTGCGTGGTGTGCAGGCCTAGACACAGGGATGGACCGAGACCCTGGACTAGACAGTGGGGCCGGGAACACAGAAACACTCTTCCCAGCCCTGCCATCAGTGGCAGGAAGATAGTTGTCTCCATCCAATTAGTCATTTCAACACCTTCAGCCGTAAGTTTTCCTGGGGGACCAGAAGCAGGCAAGGGAGGGACCCTAGGAAAATGAGACACAGAGATGTGGGCTGGGATGCTAAGCCATTTATTTTTCTGTGGCCAACATATGTCCGTCTGTCTGATGGGTGAGAATATTAGGGTCTGTGCAGGAGGGTGGGAAGGCGATTTCTAAGTTGGGAAGGGGCGAGGGGAAGGAGAAGGGAGCGTCAGTGGGAAAAGATGGACACCAGGGTTAGTCTCCCCATCCCAGAGCCTGAATTGGATCCCTGGCTCTTGAGTCCCCCTGCTGGCCAGCGCAGAAGCTGCAGTTAAGCAGCCTTCCTCCCCTGTCCCACCAGGTTTCAACAAGTGTCACTGGGCCCCCCTCCCCACCAGTGCCTGGGACAAGGTGGGGGTCTGCACAGGGTCCAGACTTTTCTGCCTCCAGAGTGTGCTGAGTACAACAGGAAGAGTGCTCCATGACCTTCCATATCCCCAGGCCCAATTCCTAAAGCTTGGGAAAGAGGCTGGGAGGCTGGGACAGCTGCTCTGATTGGCTGTGAGTGATGTCATTTCCTGCCAGCTACAGTCTGGCCCTCTCTCTGAGCCAGTAGGAGCCACCTCGTCCAGTCTCCAACCTGCAGGCCAGTTTAAATACCAGGTTTTGTAAATGCTAGGGCCCTCTACAAACATTAAGGATCATTGTGATTGTCACGTAACGTTTGCTTTAACCCTGTATATTAATTCTCTGCCCTTAGGGAAGTTGATATAGAGCCCCACTTCCATAAGGCAATCTCCTCCTTAGGGACAGAGTGCTTCTCTTTTCCTTTTCTCTTTTGACTGCATCACTCTCTGCAGTTTCTACTTCTCTCCTTTCATGAGATCAGGAAGAGCTGGTGTACGTGACTTTCTTGAACCCCTCGATGACCATCATAAAGCCACCCCTCCCATTGCCCAGCCTCCTTGGCCTTCATACCACCTTTGACTGGTGGCCCAGCCTTGGTCATCTGAGTGCTGTATCTCCCTCCCAGGTCTTCACCTCCATCTCCCCTCACCTAGTCTGTGTCCCAGCAAGAAGCCAGCTGAGTGAACGACCTTCCCATTTGCTGTGCTTTGCTGCTGCTTCTGCCACTTAGCACAGCAGAATCCATCTCAGCTTGTGGTCCACTCTGACCTTCAGGATTTTTGCCGCCAAGCTTCCATTCATGTCACTTGGGAAACGCACCCGGTCTATGCCCAACTCAGTTTCCTTTCCACTCCCACTTCTGACCCATTTATCTGCCCTTTCTCCTCAACTATTTCCACTTCCTTCCCTCCTTCCTCCTTGACTTTCTCTGGCCCCTACCCTGAGATGCTGTCTACTTCAGACCAGGGCAGAAGGATCGGGAGCTGATGTGGGCCAGGCCAGCTGCCGTTCATCCGGGGACAGAGCTGCCATCTGCCAAGCTGATGGTCCTCGCCAGCCCTCCCCCAGTGTTCGTCCCTTCCCAGGGCCCATGTTGTGGGCCCGTCCTTTTGTTTACGCAGCCCCCGCCAGACCCCTTAAATTGCCGTTAATGTTTCAGCGTAACGAATTAGTCTCTCATCACGAATCAGGCTTCGAAATGAGGGAAAAAAGCCCCAGTGAGGCCATCCTCGGAAATTGGGGTCATTCTCATTTGCAAAGCGGAGGATCGGAGCCCCGTAATGCGGGCAAATTTATTCCGAGGCAGGAGCCCCGGCGTGATTAGGCCCTTTGTAATTATCGCTCCAAGAGATTCCACTCCAGCCGCCCGCCTCCCTCGTGGATTAGCAAGCGAGTCGGAAAAATACACAGGATTTAATTAGAGGCAAATTAAAATTGGTAATGAAATCGGGCCAGTTGCAAGTGGCAAGAGTTGGAAGGGAGAGAGGGAGAGGGGATCTCCAGGGGCACGGGCTGCCCGCCCAGCCTGCTTTCTTCCCCGTTTAGAAATGTAAAGAGGAGACAAGGATGGAGACGAGGTGGGGGCGGCTAATGGGGGACAGGTAACAGGGACACAGGGACAGCTGTGGGGAGGCGTGGTGAAGCTGAGAGAGGAGAGCGCAGGGACAGGAGCGGGGGGTGGGGGGTGCATTAGGGCCCCAGCCCAGGCTCCCAGGGGGAACTGGGCCGAGCACCCCCACCCTCACCCAAGTGTCCTACAAACCAGATGACCTCAATTCCTGAAGTTACCCTGCCGGGAGGAGGTGGGACTGACAAGGTGACTTTACCTCTTTTCCTTCCTCCTCCTGCTGTACAGCCACTAAACCCATGCTCTCCTTTCTCCCAGCTTACTTACCTTAACAAGTATGTATTAGGCTTCTACTGTATACCTCATGCTCTCAATAAGCTATCTCTTCCCAGCCACAGCCCAGAATCAAGGCTCCCACGCTCCAGGGGGGTCAAGGAAGGTTGCGGTGAGGCTTCCTGAGTTATTCCCAAAACTTGTAAAGGCTTGATGGAAACTCTGCATGCCCCCAAGATAAAGTGTCCCCGTCTCCCTGAGGTGCCAGGGCCTGAGTGTGCAATCGTGCCAGTCAGAAGCCCTGAGTAACAGCTCCACACGTCCTATTAACCGTGATGGGAGAACAGACTGTTGCTAACTCGGTATCTTTCAGTGTGTAGACAGTTTTCCAAAATGTGGCAGGGAGATGGGAGCACATAATATAACGAGTGGTGACGATGCTGGGAGCCTCTGGCTCCAAGGGCAGAGAGGGGCCCTCCCTCTGCCCCTCATGCGTCTCCTCTTGCTGGTCCCCTCCCCCCGCTTGTTGCCGGGCTGGGGAAGGTGGGACAAGGTGGCACACGAGGACCCTCCTATCTGTACTCACCCGAACGGGGGAGGGGTTGCCTCTGAGCATCTGCTCCTTGTCACTGCGCCCCCAGAACGCGGTGCGACACAACCTCAGCCTGCACAAGTGCTTCGTGCGCGTGGAGAACGTCAAGGGCGCTGTGTGGACAGTGGACGAGCGGGAGTACCAGAAGCGGAGGCCGCCAAAGATGACGGGGTATGTGGGCCCAGACCAGCTGCACTCCCATGACCGCATGGTTGAGGTCACCCCCCATGCATCTCCTGGGCACCTTTGCATTCCAGACCCTTCCCATTGTAGGGGTGGAGCAGGGAGAAAGTGGGCAGAGGAGCCCAGGAGAGCTTGGAATCTATACGTGACAGATGATTAGGAAGAGGACATTTCTGTCTTGTTCTGCACTTGCCACTGACTGAGGGAAGGAGCTGAGGGGGACCTGGCATCAGAAAGAGAGGCCCAGAGTAGCCATGGCCAGAGATGGGGTATAAACATATGGCCATCAGTGTGGCTGCTGGTGAGTGGGCTGTTGTCCCCAGAGCCACTCTCTCCTATCTTGTCACAGGGTGAGCCAACCTGTGAAATCCCCAGGCCCCACCTCTTCATTTTACAGGGAGAGGAGGCCCAGAGAGGGCAAGGGGATGGAGAGTGGTCACACAGCAGATTCCGGGCAGAGCTGGGTCTCTGACCTCTACCATCATTTTCAGTGGAAACAGGAGCCTCCTCTTTCGACTTCCTTTCCAGCACTGGCCACCTCCCCACCCTGACACCCAACACGGGCCATTCGATTGCCTATGCGTCTTGGGCCAGAGGCCTATGAGGAGGGAGAGAGAGGTCTGAGGCAAGTTAGATGGGTATCTGTGGGTGCCTGCTCCCCTCACAGGTTTCTTCTCCCCAGACAAGAGTGTCTCTTACCCTCAGCAGCTGTGGGGGCTGGGGTAGGGTTAGGACCGAGAAAGGGAAGGAAAGCCATCTCCCTCCCAGTGCCCTCACATGCCAGTCACATGCTTGGTGTCTTCATGTCCCATTGTCAACTCAGAGTACCTGGGTTCAAATGACATCTCTACTTCTCACAAGCTGTATGGCCTGAGGCCAGTTCCTTTACCTCTCTGAGATGCTCTCTCTGGGGGTAGTCACTGTGGAAGGACAGCCTTGAGACATTGCTTTTCCTGCCCCAACTCCTGATCACTTTTGTGTGCAGAATAGCCTTTGGTTTGGAGCATGTGAGGACACGCTGAGCACTGGGCTTATTAGCTGTCCCCAAGTTCAGGATGGTGAGAAAGTGGATGGTGAGATGTGGGACTGTGGAAGCTGTCACTTGGACCTTGCCAAACGTTGGGAAATCTAGAGTGGAGAGAAAAATTGCTGGCAGCCTGATGTGAGGACAGACTCCTGGAGGGATCTTGTTCCCACTCATCAGCTCTGAGCCCCTGGGAGCCTCAGCAGCTCACCTGGGAAGGGGGCTGTCGGTCAGCAGGAGGACTGGATAAGACGGGGCGCAGCCGATTCTAGCCTCCCAAGATAATGAACAGGCAGTCCCTGGCATGGAGCCGGCCTTCAGGGTCAAGGCCTGAGTGAGGAGTAAGCAAATGAATGAACGAAACACTGCCTTTCTCTTGTTCAGGAGCCCCACGCTGGTGAAGAACATGATCTCGGGACTCAGTTATGGAGCACTTAACGCCAGCTATCAGGTAGTGGACTTGGCCCACTCGCTGCCCTCGGCCTCCCGCCCCTCACTTTCTATTCAGCACACTGGCCTGGAGGAGGGACCTTCCCCAACCCTCCCCGGCAGAGGCGGGACAGAGAGCAGGGAGGCTGGAGTAACCAATGACACCCCCTTCCCTGGCTTGTCCATCTGTGGGTCCTCTGTCTCCTGGGGAGGAAATAAGTCGGGCCAGGTTTCCAGGAAAGCTGGGAGGCAGGTCAGGGTCAACACTCTGGCCTTAGGAGGGACGCTCTAGAGCCGCCAGCACCCACGCTTGCAGGAGGCTCTCGGTGGGTGGGGAAGGGACAGCACTTGACTGGGTGGAGCCCGCTGAGGCCCCAACTTCATGCCCTGCAGGCTGCCCTGGCCGAGAGCAGCTTCCCCCTCCTCAACAGCCCTGGCATGCTGAACCCCAGCTCCACCAGCAGCCTCCTGCCCCTCAGCCACGACGACGTGGGCGCGCCCGTGGAGCCCCTGCCCAGCAACGGCAGCAGCAGCCCCCCTCGTCTCTCCCCACCCCAGTACAGGTGAGCCGCGGCAGGGCCGCACCCCACACCAGAGCCCCCAGACATCAGGGAGGAAGAATCTTCTCCCCCCACAGCTGGGATCCCTGTCTCATCACCTCCTGGACAGCTCTCTTCCCAGGACAAGTGGCCTCTCTCGTCCTTGGTCCCCTCTCTTCCTTCTCCCATATCCTCCTCCTCCCCCTTCTTTTTATTTCCCTCCTTCCTCTCCCTCCTCCATCCTCTGTCTCCCTTCCTCTTTCTGTCCATCCCCACATCTCCCTTCCTTCGAAGAAAGCCTTTGGGGAGACCAGACCTGAGATGCCAGGCCCCAGTGACTCAGAGATAATGGGGTCCTGGAGAGGCAAGCTCTGGACACCCCGCTTCGGGTCCCCAGATTCTGGATGGGGTGTGGGCGTCAGGGGAAGGCCCCAGGGTGCCTACATCCTCCCTTCTGTCACAGCCACCAGGTGCAGGTGAAAGAGGAGCCGGCCGAGGCGGAGGAAGACAGGCGGCCAGGCCCTCTCTTGGGGCCCCCCAACCCCAGCACCACAGGACCTCCAGAAGACAGGGACCTGGAGGAGGAGCTGCCGGGAGAGGAACTGTCCTAAGGGCCTCTAGGGGCAGGCAGGGCAGGGGTGAGACCCCCTCCCTCCCCAACCCAGGCCCCACCTACCCCCACTCCACGCCCCGCCCGAACCTCAAGGCACTTCCGGGACTCAGATGGGGGGGCTGGGCCAGCAACTCCCACGGTGACCTGACTGACCTACGACCCTCAGGGGGGCAGAGAAGGGCCCGCCCCCGAGGGGACACAGAACCCCTGGTCTGGGACCGGCAGAGGACGCGGAGGGCCCAGACCCCTCCTCAGACCTTCCCCTACATCCGAATCCCGCCTGCCTCCCGCAACCACCAGCAGCCGCAGGGCCCTCCTCCCCCACCAGCTCTCCCCACAGGGCCCCTCAGTGCCATGGAGACCCGCAGGCGGGGCTAAGCCACCTCTCAAACCCAGGGCCCCCCCTACCCCCCGCACCTGGCTTTGGCAGTATTTTCTGGCCAGAGACCCCCACTTCCCTAATTTGTGCTCCCTTCCACCTTCTTGTCCATACTGTGAAAAAATAACTCCAGCTCCACTCCTACCCCTGCCCTGGCCTGGGTCTTAGAGCAGCTCCAAAAGAAACCTGCCCCTGAAGCTGGGCCCATTCGAAAGCCACAGCTGGGGTGGGACAAGTCGTGTGCCCCGGGGAGGCCGTGGGCCTAGGCGTCCAGCTCCAGCCCCTCCCCCCAGGCTGAATTGGGCCTCCAGCCCCATTTGCTGGATGCTGTCCCCCACGCCAGGAACCGTAGGAGGGGCCCTGGTGCCCACCTCTCCCAAGAGAGGCCTGTGCCAGGTGGACTTACAGAGGTGGAGCTGCTGAAGGCAGCCGAGTGACCCTGGAGGCTGGAGTTGGGACCAGAGATGGTGCCAGGACCCTGCCTCCGTCATAGAAAGTGGGGACTAAAACCAGGCTTGAGGGGCTGGCGGGGTGAATACAGTGGCGGCTGGGACCCAGCAGGTCTCTCCCACCCCAGCCCTCAGGTCCCCCGTGGCGTCTTCCCCCCACCCCACCCTCGGCACCCCTTCCCTGTCCCCCAGTTACACGGATGACCAAAGACCTTTCTTATGCCGGAAGCAAAAACCAAAACTTTTCGTTGGCTTTTTCCTTTGTCACCTCCCACACCCCCAGCTCCTCCCGCTCCTCCCCACCCTGGCCCCAGGCTGGAAGCCCTCCCTCCACTTAAGTTATTGTTTTAAACCAAAGTTTACAGTGTCTGTTGGTGGCCAAGACCCTCTCTCTCCACCCTCCCTCCACCCCACCCTGAGGACCCTGCTCCCCTCCCCTCTGGTCTTGCTGGGCCTGGGGGAAGGAAAGAGGGCAGAGGGGAGGAGGTGGGCAGCCCTCATCCCCTTGGGCAGTGGATGTGGGAGCCCTCTTCCCAACCCTGGGCTGCTCCCTGGGGACTCTCCAGACCCCTCTCCAGGACCAAGTCCCCATCACACTGGGAGTGTGGATTCCAGCCAAAGAGCTGGAAAAAAAGTGAGACTCTCCACAGACCCCCTATGGGGGACCCCAATTCAGGGCCAAGGACTGGGTGTGTTAGATGCTGATGACACCCCAGGCCAGGCCCCTTTGCTGAGAAGATTCCTTGGACTATCCCAAGAAATCCCTACATACACCCCTTCACAAGCCACCCCTCCCGAGAGGCAGGGGGCCCTCCGCCCCCTTCCCTATGTACTCCCCACCTGTGTTCTGTTTGACCAGCACAGAAATATTAAACGTCCTCTACTCACCGGGCCCTGCGTGTGTCGCTGAGGTGAGGGAGGGCAGGGGCGTGACACCGCAAAGACTGTCCCGGGCTGCGGAGGGGGTTGGCAGGAGGCGCCCTATAGGGGGCGTCCTGCGAGTGGTGAGTGGTCTTGAGCCCCGGCCGCCTCCACTTTCACAGTCTTCCACAGCCTTCCGGTTCCTCTGCAACTCCTGGTACCCCCCTCTTCCACTCTTGGCGTTCTCTGGTATTTTCTTTCAAACCAGTTCTCTCCAACATTGTTTTCTCCCAAAGTCGCAACTCCTTGCCCCAGTTCCCTCATGGATTTGAAATGCAAGTTCCTGGCTGGGCAATTTCAGCAGGGGTAGATTTCCTCCAGGCCTGGAAAAGATTCCTGCTGCAGGGCCACCACCCGTGGAGATGTCTGCCCACCTGCTCAGGTGCCCTCTGGGCCCATCACCCATGTCTTCATGGGGGCTACCTGGATAGGTGTGAGTGTGTGTGTACACACGCATGCGTGCACGTGTGGAAGTGGCATTGAGATGCTTGTGGCAGGGCTGTTGGATGCATGGCCACCCCTGGGTGCAGTGTCAGCACTGGTGGGCTTGGGTCGGAAAGGGGGTTATTCTAGCCCATGTCTAGGGGACCCCAGATAGCTGGGGGAGAGAAGGAAGGGAGGAAGAGGCCCAGGTTATTAAAGGTAAGGCCCCCCTCAGCCCTGCCACACAAGCTCATATCAAATCCTGACTCCATACCTGCTGCCGGTGCCTGTCACGGAGTATCCACCAGTCCCCTCTTCCCAACACCATGGTCAGCTTGTAGACACCCTTCTCCAGGACAGGGCCCAGACAGGAGTGTGTGTACTTGGGAGTGCAGAGGAAGAGCGGAAGGTGTTGAGAAAGTGGCAGAACTGGAATCAGTCGCCCTCTCCCCAAACTGCTGGAACTTTTGGAAAGCCAAGCTTGGGTTGGGGAGGTAGAGCAGGAAGCAGCAGCAGGAGTGCGCATTTCATATGGCACCTCCGCTGACTTCTGGGTCTCAGGCCTGTGGGCCCTTCAGACTCCTTTCAACTGTCATCTGTGTCCTGTCTCTCTCCCTTTCCACTTTCTCTCTGTGTCCACCCCCACCCCCCGCCCTTATCCTCTGGGCACTGGTGTGGAGCCTGAGGTGAAGCCCCTGTCCCTCCTTAGCACATCTCAGGAGGGGCCCAGCCAGGTCAGGCCAGGGGAGCTCAGCATGCAGTCTCAGAGTCCATGCCCTCTGCACGCCTGCTCACCCACCAGACTTTATTATAAAGAGGAAGCACTGCTAATATTGTAGTGTGCTCCTCCTCACCCTCCGGAGAGGCCGCAGTGGTTCTGTACAGTAGAAACAGCTTCAAGTCATCTGTGTGGACAACAACATTCTCTACAATGCAATAAAACAATTACCCTTAGTTTCACTGCAGCCACTTCCCCTCCCCATCTGCCCCTCAGGACCCAGCAACCTTCTAGAGAATCCAGAGGTGTTGTCTGCCAAATTCCCAGCTCCCTACCCCACCCATGCAAGTTGTTCTACAGCTGGCCCTAGGAGCAGCCTTCCCATGCTAGAGACTCTTAAGGAATAAGACTACACCCAGCCTCACTCAGGACAGTCCTTCCAGTGGTCTAACTTCAGTTTATCTTGCTTCTACTGGAGTTCTTTTATTCCTCCCCACAGGGATGTGACAAATGTCTGGTCAGTGCATTTGGTTATGGCATAAAGATCTGTCCTAGGTATTGGTAAAGGAGAAGGTCTTACAATTTAAGAAACAAAAGGATGCTGCGGAGCTCCATCTTCTGAGTGCATTGGGCTTACAGATGCAATAATTACTTTCCTTACTGATCTGACAGATCCCACATAGGACGGCACCCCACACACACCCATCATTACATCATTCCTTTCTTCTAAATAAGAACCAACTCCCCCAACCCACCCAAATCATGTTTTGCTGTCAGGAAGTTCTACATGTTGTCTAGCCTGTCTTTCCTACTGTTATGTGCAGCTATCGGGAGCAGGTTGTCCGCTTGTCCTGGTCTGAGTTTTTCTGCACTTAACCGGGAAGAGAAGCTATTTTTGGAAACTGTTCTCAGGCCAGCAAGGAAAAAGTAAGAAAAGGATACCTCAAGCTGGACATTTTGAGGGCAAGAAGGTAGCACTCTGGGCTCTGCATTGGGTAGAAGACCCCTTCCCCTCCTGGTCAGGTCTTTCCCCTAACCTTTAACTTGCCCCCCTTGCCCAAGGCCTTTGCCAATGGCCAGCAGAGGGCGCTCTAGACAAAGCGGACTTGCTCCTCTTTGGGCAAACTTGCCCTCCAGGGGAAGAGGGGAGGTGGGACTGTGGGGAGAGGGCGCTCAGGTTCCTGGGACAACAGCAGCTCTACAACCCCATGTCCCAGAGAGCAGTCTCTAGCCAAGGGCAGGAAAAGGGTTCTTTCTGCTGTTTGAGGACTTCCAGCCCCCTCCAACTTGTGACTGACCTATGGGGCACCCTGAACAGTCAGGAGAAGGCAAGAGAGATTAGAGAGAGCTAGAGAGAAGGCGTCTCTGGATCTAGTACCCTGGCACCGCAAAGGGCCCAGTAAAGATTGATAATGGTAATAGTAATTACTAACGTGGAGTGCGCCCTTATCACGTACCACAAGCTATTCTAGAAGCTTTATGCTTCATGTAATTCTCACAACAGCTCTGCATTATCTACTGTAACTATCCCCGTTTTACAGATGAGGAAACAGAAACTCAGGGGTCAGAGGCTAATGGATGAAGTGTTAAGAATAAGGAATCTGTGGTTTGCAGTGGGGGAAGGGAAGGGGCAGCTCTGTGGCTTAGTCTCAGCTTTCTAGCGACACTATTCACTTTGGCTTTCCCCTCACCCCTTCTTGGAGTCTCCCAAAGGGGAAACTGAGGTACAGAGTGCCTCAGAGCCAGGAATCAGGCCTGGCTTCAGAGTTCTCCAGCTGCCATTCTTGTCTAGGCAGAATGAGGGCCTTGGAATAGGCACTGAGGACAGAGGGAACCAAAGAAAGAAGGCTGAAATGCCCCATAAAAATAATAACCATAAGCAGGGGCTTCTATTGGAATAAGGAGTCAGAGCAGTGAAGGCAAGGAGGCCCCTGGGTGGGGTGGAGTGGATTCACAAGGACCACGCAGACACATACACACGCATACACCTGAGCGCGTGCATGGACACATGAGAAAACACACGTGCTGCTGATCAGATATGTTTACACCAAGAGGTCCCTTCCATCTTGAAAGCCTTCAATGACCCTGTGGCCACCCAGAGCAGGGACACATGCCATGCGGTAGTCACTGTGACATCCCATCACACAGGCCCAGGTCCCCTCCACACCTACAGTCTGCTTCCACCTCAGGTTCAAAAGTTTAGAAAAATAGCCCCTCCCAAGAGGGCGGTCACGGTGGCAGCCAAGGCTTGCCCAGGAGGGGCCAGGGACGGGGTGTGGGGAGGGGGCACTGGCCACCTTTGGAAGATGGGCCAAATGAACAGGGGTGGGACAGAAGGGGCGAGCATTCTGGAGCTTCTGGCCCTGAGTCAAAGGCTTCTACCCCTGCTACGGGTCAGGGCCACAGTTGCTCTCAGACCTGGAACCAGGCTGCCTACATCAGGTGCTGCCTGGGCTCAGGAGGGAGTCAAGCACAGGGACGGGGGTGGATGGACACCAGACAGCACAGGACTCTGCTCTCGGAGAGCTGCATCCCTGGCTGGAAAACTGATGGAGTCCAGCTGAATGCCGAGTCCCACAAGGGAGAAAACTTGGGCCCTGCAGGGATTCAGATCCTGCCTCTGCTACTTGCTAGCTCTGTGGCCTTGGGAAAACTTCTTGGCCTCTCTGGGCTTCCGTTTCCTCATCTATAGACTGGGGTGGGGTGATCATCACTGGCTTGTTGAGAAGATTATTAATACAGCATATAAAAATGTGTCTAGTGCATACTAGGCCCACAGTACATTATAGCTCTTAATAAAATGCAGTCTTGGATGCCAATTACCAGAGGGGTCAGGGGGACTCATGTGGTCCTGGAGGACTCCCTGGAAGAGAGGCTGCAGCTGGGAAGGGGAAATTCGAGTAGGAAGAGGGAAGAGGAGAGATGTTCTAGGCTTGTAGAGGAGCCTAGATGGAGCTTTGGGAAGGTTAATGTGGCAGAAACAAAGAGCTGAGTGAGGAGGGAGAGGCCAGGGCAAGGGGGCCAGTGGGCTGACAGCAGCCAAGCCACCACTGTCATTGCCAACCCACATTTGCATTCTCTGGGCAGGGCTGGGCCTCGGGCAAGTCAATTGCAGGGTGGTTTCCTGATCTCCAAAGTGGTGATGAGAAGCCCTGACTCCTCGGAAGACTGAGGGAAGAATTAAGTGGAGTAGTGGATATGAAACATGTGCCCGGGCCTACACCTGCTGATACCTGGGAAGCGCAGGCACTGCTGGTGCCGCTGCTGAAGATTCAGACACGCCCTACATCCCTGAGGAGTTTACATCAGAGCGGGGCGGTCTTGCACTTAAATAAACACAGAAGTAGCTTGGCAGGGGCGAAATCAGCAGTTCCATGACCACATGCTGTGGCCTTCAGAGGTGTTCCGAGAGCAGGCTTCTTGGAGCAGATGAGTGACAGGAGGAGCCTTGAGGGGAAAGATAAAACTCAGCAGCAGAGCTTGGCAAGGTGGGGGTGGGGGGTGTTGGGGGGAGGCAACAACTGAGAGAAGGCAGGAGTGAGACAGGTTAAGACATCTGGGGACAGCCAGACCATAGAGGCTGCAGTGCTGGGAGGTGATCCCGGAACGGTGGGAACCAGACTGTGGGGGGTCTGAAGGCAAGCTGGGGGTCCAAGCTGGGGGCTGGGGGCAGCACCAGAAGATGGTGCAGAGCAGGGAGAAACGGACGGGCATCAGATGTGGGCAGGAAGTATCTGTGGGCGAATGGGTTAGGCCCACATGGGCCGGTCAGGTGGCTACTGCGGTGACAGGTGAGTCCTAAACAGGGAGGCTGCTCTGGCGGGTGATAT